GTCTTCCTTCTTCACTCTCCAACTTTCACATGCAGCCCTGGCCACCCTACCTAGGACAAGGGTCTTCACTTACCTGCACACCTCATTCTCGTCCCCATCTTCAGCCCCCTGTTTCCTCTGCTGGGCTTCCGCTCCTCCTACGCCCTCCATGGGTACATTCACTCTCCATCTTTCATCATCCGGAGGACAAACAGTGTTCTTCTGGGGGGGATGTTGGACCCTTTCTTGTAGCATTATTGGTACCCTGCCTAATTTCCTAATGACCAAAATAAATAAATAAAACACTACCTAGTGTTTGGGTGATAACTCAGTCTGGGCGGTACTGCCTCCAATTGCTCTCCTCCTTCCAAACAACCTTCACAATGCTGGCAGACTGGCACCGTCAGGACACTTTTCTCAGTGGCCTCGTTGTTCTGTGGGTCCTCCAGAACCTGCCTCTGACCCACTTTTCCTCTACTGCCCCAGACAGGCAGTTCTCAGGTTATTTAAACTGCTTGGCAGATCTTCAACACTTCGTGTCTGTCATTGCTGTTTTATATTCAGTATTTGAATGAATCACAGACTTGTGTAGTTTAAATACAGAAAGTATAAACATGGATTGTGAAAGATCATTCACTGACTTGTGGTCTCTTCACTTCAGTTCTCATTCCCACCCCACAGGTTATCATTGTTGCTCTCTGTTGTATGGTGGACCCCATGCACAATGGGATGGGACTGTTATAATCCATAGGGCTTTCATTGGCTGATTTTGATTGTGAATTGAGTGAAGGTTAACAGAGAAGATCATCAGTTTTACAGAGAACAAATCGTACCCTTCGTTTCATCTCTATGATTGTGGCCCCTCTGTGGAACATCACGTATCCCACTTCCTTTCTATTTCAATTGCACCTTCTTGCTCATCCCTTCTCAACTTTGTCCTGAGGAAAATGTTGCCCTTTTGATCTTGAATGGCTGACCATCCCATGGTAAGCACACCTTACTAATGACACTGCTACATCTGTGACTTAGCTGACAATTGGGCCTTTTCCATACCTGAAGGGTAGTTGGGGGCCAAAGTCTCAGTTTCCTCTGGTCTCTTTCTGATCAGTAAGCTGGACTTTTTCTAATAATTTTGAGTTTTGTTCATTTGACATTTTTTGAAAGCCTTTCTTCCTAGCCCGTCATCATAGTAACACACAAGCCTCCACTGACAGCTGTGTAGGGTGGTGGCTGTGTAGGAGGTATACTGACCAATTCTACATGTGAGCAGTTTGAAACTACCACCTACCTGTTCCACGGGAGAAAGATGAGGCTTTCTGCTCCCGTAAAGATTTACAGCCTCGAAAACCCTGTACAGGGTCGCTATGAGTCGGAACCAACTCCACGGTACTTAACAACAACAACAATCATGGAACCAAAATTACTGTTATTCTTTTCTTTTCTTTTTGTCTTCTTCTTTTTTTTTAATCCATTATGTACGTCGGAGTTCTGGTGTGGCACTATGGGTTAATGCACTGGACTGGAAAATGGGTTTGTACCGTAATGTCGGTGGTCCAAGTTCACCAGTTGCGCCTCAGATACACTATACAGGGTTGCTATGGGTCAGAACCAACTCGAAGGCACTTAACTACAACAACAACAATGAAAAGTTCGAGAGTCCTGGTGTGGCACTGCAGATTAATGCACTGGACCACAAGGTCAGTTTGAAGTGCAAGGTTGGTTTGAACCGCAAAGTCTGTGGTACAAGCTCACCAGCCACTCCTCAGAAATGCTCTACAGGGTCACTATGAGTTGGAACCGACTTTACAGCACTTAACAACAGCGATAGGTTTTTTTCTAGTCTATTCTCTGACAGAATAAACTTGAAAAGTTATGTTTTTCTAGAGACAGGATCATCCTATTCAAATTAATTTGCTTTGATTCTTTAAATTTATTGTGTCTTTAGGCATTTTCTCATGATCATTTCTTATGTTGACGATACATTTTTTATTTACTTCTTTTCTTTGCTTAGAAGAGGCAGATATTTGCTTTACTTTTCAGAGAGCTGTCTTTGGTTTAATTATCCGTTCTTTTCTTTCTTTCTTTTTTTCCCTAAATGTCATCCAATAACAACAGAGCAGTGTTCAGCTAAAGATCCCTGACCTTATATAATTACATTAATAATAAAATAAAAATGAATGAGTTCAGCATACCATTCATGAAGTTAGAAAAGGAATATTAAAAAGAAAGTTCACTTCCCTCTTGGTTATGGTGAAGTACTAATTCATGTTGGTATGATCATGGAACTATTAAGTCCAATTCTTTGAAATGTGGGAACCAGGTTAGTAAGTTCTAGTCTTTGAAGGCGAGTGTAAATGCACACAGCAGTGTTCACCATACTTACTTGTTTACATTTTTAAGAACAAACAATAATGCCATTAGATTGATGACAAGAAGTTCAGAGATGTTCTCCACCAAACTGTACTGCTCCCAAGTGACAGATAGAGGATGTTTAGTCTCTTTCTTACTTTTTCAAAATAAGGAAATTTGAGTAAGGTTTCGTGACTTGAGCAGGGTCACATGGAGGTCAGGTTAATAGGGAAGTGGGAATGGGCTATAATTTGAGATCCCTGGGAGGCACAAATGGTTAGGTGCTTGCCTGCTAACTGGAAGGCTGACGATTCAAGTCCACTCAGAGGTGCTGTGGAAGAAAGACTGGCAATCTACTTCACAAACAGCAATCAGCCTGAAAACACCCAGTTCTACTCTGTAAACCAGAGGGTTGCCATGAGTCCACGTCATCGCAACGGTAAAGAGTTTGATTTCATTTTCAGGTCTGGTCTTAGTGGTCAAAAACAAAAAACCCACAGCCTTCAAGTCAATCCTGATGAATAGCAACCCTACACAATTTCCAAGAGTTTCCAAGGCTGTAATCTTTACTGAGGAGTCCTCGTGAGGCACTGTAGGATAAACATTGGACCAGAAGGTTGGTTTGAACTGCAAGTCTGGAGGTTTAAACTCACCAACCACTCCTCGGAAGCCCTATACAGGGTCACTGAGTTGGAATCAACTCAACACATCTTAATAACAACAATCTTGACTGAAGCAGACTGCCGCAGCTTTCTCCTGCAGAGTGGTTTGTGGGTTTGAACCACTGACTTTTTAATTAGAAGCTGAGCATTTTAACCACTTTGCCACCAGGGCTCCTTATAAGTGGTCTACTGCTAAATCTTCTGATTCTCTAAGAAGTTGCTAAGAACATGACTTTGTTTTGTTTGTTTTATAGTTCTGAAGTACTTAGCCCAGGGCCTGGCGTAAGGCAGATGCTAAGAATTGTTATTGCTATTATCATGGCTTTCCAACTCTGGAAAGTGTTTCTTAAGTGCTGTTGAGTCAGTTCTGACTCCTAGCAACCCTGTATAGGGTATCTGAAGAACGGCTGATGGGTATGAACTGCTGAGCTTGAAGTTAACATTCCAGTGCTTAATCCTACAGCTTCACACCAGCACGCTTCGTAATTAGTGGTTAGAGAGGAAGAGGGTCTGCCCCTTTGAAATTTAATATTAGTAATACTTAATAAAATCTTTTAAATATTATTAGACTTCATCATGCTACCTTGAGCAATTTGATTTACGAAATTCTTAACTTTGTACAACATTATTAATAAATGACCTCTAGAAATGTCTTCACCATCTAGCAATTAGCCAGTGGAAAAATATTTCTATTGAAAATCAGTAGCATATGGAAGATTTTATGAAAAAAAGTTGATAAAATTAGGAAAATTGAAGTCTCTAAGTTACTGGGTAAATATCTCAATTATTGACTATTAAAGTTCTAATGTAAATACACAAAATGACTGAATTTTGCCATCAAGTTTGCTAATATGCAAACTGAGACATCATAAAAATAAGAGAATACTTGTGAAAATTCTGAAAAACTGGATTTAATACTAAAAAATACTTTATTGTTTATTGGCTAGATTATCTTGTATTTGTATACTAAATTTTTCTGGACTCTGAAAAAATGGTTTAAAGTGTGTATTTAAAAAAAAAAAAAGGTTTTGTAAATTCTAGAGAACAGGGATTGTCTCTTGTGAATCTTGAGATCACTGGAGACCCGGAACAATGAACAATTCCATAAATGCTTGTGGAATGAAGAAAAAATACGAAAGACTTTCTTGGTGGATTTCTATTAACTGAAGGGAAAGCAACATGTAGGTGAAGAATGAACATTTATACTTTCAAATAACGAAGGTGATTTATTGTAGTGAAATGACATTGAAGTTTTACATGACCCCCAATGCATACATGTTTACCTTCACACTATTAGATAAGGTATCATGAACTGTAAAGAAACTCAAAGTGCTATAAAGGGCTAATAATAATGTAATGCGTTTTCATGAATGTGTCCAAATTTCATTTGAGGATTAAAAGACATAGCTAAGTATTTTTAAAAATAATTTTCATCGTGGTCTTTTCTTTTCCTGGCATTGGTGATGCCATTGAGAATTTCTGGTATGGAACTCTAATTCCTTGTTGTCTGTTTCTTTCTAATACTATGGTGATTAGTAATCTGGAAGCTGCTTATTAATGGCAGCTTCTAACAGAAATTTAAGCATATTTCCCTAAATGGAATTTGTGGAAAATGTGAAAATTAGCTTGACATTTGAGACAACACAAAAAGAAGAAAAGATTCCTGTTAAACACTAACCAGTAAAAAAGTATTCCAGGAGGCAAAGACCAGTCATATTGCCTACGTCAAGTACACAAACAAATATAGAAGCACATGTATGTTCACATCCTTTGCTTCTAAGACCTTTTCTGCAAGACTGCATTACATATTGCACAAGTTCAGGTGCACACAGACTCAACCTAAGTGCCATTGGTACAGCCATCCTCTCTGAGGAGGGTAATACCCAGACATTTCTAAAGGAGCTTATTCTTGACTTTCTAGAAAGCAGAACCTAAACACAGTTCTTTACACAGTCATGTATTTACAGAAAGAAATGCCATAAACTCTGCCCTAGTGGATGGTCTACCTTCCTAAATGTAGGATTCTCTAGCATATTGGAATTGGTCAGCCTCAAAGACAGGCTGACTACAACGCTGTACTCGATAGTCCCACTTGTTCTTGTCTCTGGACTCTGACTCTGTTCTCAGTCGGTAAAGAGTGGATCTCCCTAGAAGAGTCACTTCCTCTTTAGTTTCCACAGAGGCACACACAGTCCTGCTTTGTGTCCAGCTCTCAGTCATGGGAGACAGTCTATGTGTACTTAGTGTCCCTTGACTGAATGTGCATTTTGAATCCTCTACATGGAGGGAAGGTACGAGTGGTGGTTGTATGGAGTCTTGACTGAGCATTCTTTCCCTCATACTTTGGACAGTTTGGCTCCTGTAGGCAGCGAGTTCGAATGCTTGGCACTGAATGGCCTCTTCATAAGATGGTGGATTTCCAGGAGTTCTCTGATCCACTTGTTGAAACACATCATCAACTGAGACGGTATGGGGTCTTGAGCTGAAATCCAGAGCCGTTTGGCTGTGGATTTCAGACCAGTTTTCCTGGACGATGCGGCCAGCAAGCTGGCTTTCTTTCTTAAAACTCTTCTTCAAGTGGTTTTTGGGAAAGTCTTTGCATTTTTCAGCCCCACAGATGGTGGTTTGGGCCTGCACTCTTTTGTGAGGGGCAAAAGAGAATGACATGGAGTGTTTTTTTCTTTCTAGGTTGGGCTTCCCTTTGTCAGTCTTTGTGGTGAAGGACTGGTGTCTGGTGAAGAAATTTCTTTTGGGACTGGATGGAGACACCATGGGGGAACTGTCAGAGGATCCATCCAAGGAGCCACTGGAGACAACCTTTGGGAACAGTCCACGTGGGAAGCCTGGGCCCTGACCCATGCTCTTTGCCTTTAGGTCCAGTGATCTTCTGGGTTTGCCTTCCACTGCAGGAAACACCTCTTCTGGGAATGGGTCTTCAGGTTCCTCACTTTCAAAACGAGAGCCTTTTGGGGGCACGATGAAGTTATCCTCACTCTTGGTTAGCTTTTGCCTTGTGATCCCAGGCTCAAGGCACTCTGGTGAGGATGACATGTTGGGTTCGGAATACCTCCTGTCAGGTTGATCCAGGGAGCCTTTCAGCCTGGCCACAGTGCTGACAATGGGCTTCAGGTCTGGCTCACGTGGACACTGCAGCCTCCCGCTCTGAGAGCAGCCGACACTAGTGGACTCAGCATCAGGGTCTGTGCTGTCATAGGCCGAATCGTTCTGCAAGGTTGACACATCTAGGGGAAGTTAAGGAACAGGTGAATGTTTTGTTCAGGTTCGGGCCCTTTTAGAAATAAACTTTAGTACAAACGAACCTACTCATACCAACGAGGGAACTACTTTGGTGGAACTACTTTTCGGCTTAATATGATAAGAAATTTACTGCGTTAAAACCGGTTTCTCCCCAAATCTATTCTGAGATGGAGAAGAGACATATGGAAAGGGAAGATTCGAGGGAGATTGAGAAAAGACTGTTTCATTGAAAATTTATTGATCTTAAATTTTACAAGATCCTTGGATGACTATCTGATGGTTTTTTTAGACCCATATTCCATTAGGTGGGAACAGAACATTCTTACTCCAACCCTATGTGGCTGTTGTTGTTGTTAATTGCTGTGGAGTCGGTTCGACTCATAGCGACCCTGTATAGGGTTTCTGAGGAGCAGCTGGTGGGTTTGAACTGCTGACCCGGAAGTATAAGTTATTTAGTAAGTTCAGCAGCTGTTCAAGGATCCCTGGTGGCACAGTGATTAAGCACTTAGCTAATTGAAAGGTTAGTGGTTCAAACCCCTCAGCTGCAGCTGCAGAAAAACAAAGAAAACAACCCTCTGGTGATCAACCCCTTTAAAAATGTGTTGTTAAGTGTCATCGAGTTGGTTCCAACTCATAGTGACCCTGTATAGGGTTTCCTAGGAGCAGCTGTTGGGTTTGTACTGCTGACCTTGTGGTCCACAGTCCAGTGCTGATCCTACAGCACCACCCCAGGAATCCTGTAAAGATTTATAGCCTTGGAAACCCTGTGGGGCAATTCTCAAGGGATGCTTCGAGTTGGAAATGACTCAGAAGCAATGGGTTTGGTTTTTTTTTTTTTTTTTTTAAGCATTTTTTTCTTGATTTGCAACAGGAAGAGTAAAGCTCCAGGCTGGAGTTGAAGAGGCCTTCTGAGAAACCCTGAGCAGCCTTTTCTTTCGTATTTAAGGACTGCCCTCTGATGCTGAGTGGTGATTTGTGATGGCAGTTTCAGGCTCAAACACCAGAGCTGTTTTACCGAACTTTCGAACGAGATCATAATCATTGCTGGTACATCTGTACCTGAGCTATCCGTGTGTTCCAGGGAGTCGTCGGAAGTGATGCTGGAAGGTGCCGGGATGTGGTCCCCAAAGACTTCTAGGCAGTTATCAATGAGGAATTCCACTAAAGTCTTGACCTGTAAGGGACATAAAGACATATTTCTTTATTTGGGGGCAAGTGGGATTATAGTCACTGGGGTCAACTGTAAGGGACGTGCCATAAAGAGACTTGGAGACTTTTCTGTGTTTGAAAAGTACAGGAATTTGCTTACAAGGGTAAGTACTAGACTGTTAACTGCAAAGTCAGTAGTTCAAACCCACCAGGCACGCCTCAGCAACCCTGTATAGGATCGCTGTGAGTCAGCGCCAACTCAGTGACCCTCAACAAAAACAATATACATTGTACCAAAACACTAACCCTAAAGCCAAAGAATAGATTCCAATGCACAGCAACCCCAGACAGGGTTTCAGAGACCGTGCAATTTTTATGGGAGCAGAAATCCTAATGTTTTTCTAGCAGAGAAGCTGGATTTGACCCACCAACCTTGTGGTTACCAGCCCGGCGCCTAACCCACAGCACCACCAGCGCTTCTTATAAATGTATTATAGTTAGATTTTTGTTGTTGTTGTTGTTGTTGCTGTTTTTGAGACATGCGTTTTTTCCCCCTAAGAATTCTAGAGTCTTTTATTTTTAACTTACTGAAGGTTACATTAGGGAAATACTTTCTGAAGGTTCCAGTCATACTAGTGGTCTGGTGTGGTGCTGTAGGATAGGCACTTGATCACAAGGTCGGTTTGAACTGCAAGATTGGTGGTTCAAACTCACCAGTTGCTCCTCAGAAACCCTATACAGAGTGGCTATGAGTTGGAATCGACTTGATGGCACTTAACAACAACAACATAGTTATAATGACAGTATAATGCATGAACCAAAAAAGCCCTTTCTATCCTTAGAGACAGAGAGATGGCAACAGGGATTTGCCTCAGATCAGTGCAGGACGGGGCAGTGTTTCATTGAATTGTGTGTGTGTATGGGGGGGCATCTCTACACAACTACAACAACAATATGGTAAGACAATGGAACTCTGACCAAAGCATTCTGCACTTTTATATTTTCCCTGTGATCCTGATCCAATTGGAGAAATCCAGAAGCATTTCATTGCTTGGCATTTGCAAACAGATGGTGAGATCCTAAGTTGGGAGCTTCTCATAAATCAACTATAACAAACCTTATTGTTCAGGTCTTTCTGGGCTTCGAATGACAGGTTCTGGTCATTCTCTAGGGCCAGCATGTTGGGGCCAATGCAGATGGCGAGGTTGCTTGAGTCCATCTTGTTGGTGCTAGAGCTTTTGCTGATCAGGTAGAGCACGTAGACCAGATGCTTGAGCAGAGTGAGATTGGGCCGGGGAAGTTTATCAGCAACCCTGGTACACAAAGAGGAGACGAGTTTGAAAGGAGGCTTTGGTCTTCATGTGGTTGAGAGTTCCTGCCTGAAACTGACTTCCCTTCAAATGAGGAAGGTGCCTTTTCTCAAAGGGTATTGTGCAACATCCATTCAGACACTTCTAGCTGCAACCAACACAGCACGAAACTGGTTAACCACAAGGTCTGGAAGACCTAAGATGGGGCTTTATAATTACAACGAAGCCTTTTGCGATTTGCATAGATCTTAAATTATGCAGCAGAACCTGCATTCATTAAGACTTAAGTCTTTAAAATTTGAAAATCATTTTGTTGAGCCATCATTGAAATAATTAAGCTCGTTTAACACTGTAAGGATGGTTTTTTTGAAACACAATAATTTGCTTGTTTTTTTGGGGGGAACTGTGACCACCAGACGAAGATGGAATGTTAGGTTAGCTGCTGAGCACTTAAGCATTAAGGCTCCGTTGAGACCTTTTTAGGGAGAATAAATCAGCTTTTACGGACAGGTTCATAAGTCTGGCCAAGGCGACATTTGAACAGTAACTCTGTAACGGTGATAAATGTTCAGTTTTAACACTCACTTTTTTACAAAATGAAGTTGTGACTACGATCTGTAGATCATTTTCATGTTTCATAAGAAGTGATTGTGATGAAAGAGCTTTTATGTCTTTAGAGAGGAATTTATTATGATCATCATAGGGTTGTCATTTTAGGATAGACACTTTAATGTCTTTAATGCTCCAAATATTTCATTGAGAATATTTAACCATGTGAGGCAATCATCAACTATAGTTAAACTTTCAACGTGTTATGTGTTATGTGTGGAGTCGTGTCTCCATACGTAAAATATGCGTTGGCATTCTAATCCCCATACCTGTGGACGTGATCCTGTTTGGAAATAGACTTTTCTTTGTTATATTAATGAGAGCATGCCTGAGTAGGGTGTATTCTAAATCTAATAACTTCTGAGTTATTGACAAGAGCAGATTACATATGGATCCACACATAGGTACACACAGAGGGGGACAGATGCTCTCAGAAGAGCATCAAGCCAAGGGAACAAGGAAAGCCTGTGACTACCTATAAAGAAGGCATTGATATGAGGGAGAGCCTTTGGACTTTGAGCTTCCAGAACTATGAGACAGCAAATTGCTCTCCTGTAAAGATACCATATACTTGTGTTACAGCAGTACTAGCTAGGAAACCAAGACATAAGAACTAGCAAAAGGGCTGATATTTTAAAGTCGGGTATTTGTTGTTTTTGTTAAGTGCAGTGGAGTTGGTTCTGGCTCATAGCAACCCAAGGAGTTGCTGTGGTTTAGGGTTTCCAAGGAGTGGCTGGTGGGTTTGAATCGCCGGCTTTATGGTTATCAGTCCAGTGCTTATCCTACAGCACCACCCCAGGACTGCAGTTGGGTATTTAGGGCTCTCTAACCACTCACAAGATATCTTTTTCCTTTAGAGGGTCATGATTTTTTTCATTCTGGTTAATTATGAGGCTATGAAATGTGCTGTGGAATTTTATGAAAAACAAAACAATCCAAGCCTAAACAAACAAAATGATCCCTTGAGGCCTTTTCCCTGGACTTAAGGGGTGTTTTGTGGGAGAATTGATGTTTGTTGTGACACCAATCTGTCTGGGCTGAGGATACCCCCTAATGCCTACATTTTTCTGGTTGGCCTGTTTTCATGATTTTATCTATTATTTTATCTACTTGAACTGGCTTCCAAACCATTTGGACTCTGAGAGTTCTGAGGTACCCTTTTTGTTTTTGGAGTTGCACCTCCTTCCACTTGGCTAAATCACCTGATTAAATTTCCAGGGACCTCCTGACTTTATTCTAGGACTGGAGGAGCAATTCTCCTCAGTTTTGTTGAGAGTCACCATTCTGATGAGGCACGGCTCCATACGATAAGGTCCGGTTCAAGCCTGCCAGCCACTCCACAGAAGAAAGATAAGCTTTCTATTCCTGAGCAGATTTAAAGCCTCAGAAACCTGATGCAGGGTCACTGTGAGTCAGAACCGACTCAACAGCTCTTAACAACAAATCACAAAAAGCTTCAACACTCAGGCAGAGGGGCACAGGGTGGCTGTGGAGGCCCTGCTTCCTGGAGTCGCTTTGCACACTTACTGTTTGAGGGCCTCGATTCTGTCCTCCTCATGCTGCCTGTCCAGGGCGCCCATCCACTCCTCAAACAGGTCACTGGACAGCAGCTTTAGGGGGATGCTCCGCAGAAAGTCCTGTAGGAGGAAGGAGAACTACTGAGTCTGTCTGTGGGACCCAAAGTGCTGGGGACTCGGGGCCCAACCCATCACAGACTGCGTCCCTCCGTTCTTGTCTGCCAGCAACTTAATACCAAAAGGCACAGAGGGGACATGAATTCTGGGGGGCTGCTGGACTTAGAGTGGATTAGCTTTATTCATCAAATTTTGGGAAAACTTAAAGTCTCACTATTTTTTGGAATCTTTGATCATAGAAATAGAGATGCTTTCTATTGTAAATGAATAAATTACATTTACAGGTATTGCTGTTATTAAGCGCAGTCGAGTCAGTTCCGACTCATAGCAATCCAGTATAGGCTTTCCGAGGAATGACTGATGAGTTTGAACCAGCAACCTTATGGTTTAAACCGACCTTGCTTTCCTGCACTTATCCTACAGAATAGAGTCCTGGTGTGGTGCTGTAGGGTCAGCATTGAACTCTGAACCACAAGGTCGGTGGTTCAAACCCACCAGCTGCTCCTCAGAACCCTTATGCAGGGTTGCTATGAGTGGGAACCGACCTGATGGCACTTAACAAAAATGACAAGAAGTCTATATCTTTCTCTATAAATATCCCAAATGACCCACTGCCGGAAAGTTGGTTCTGACCCATAGAAACCCTACAGAACTGAGGAGAACTACTCCTTAGAGATTTTGAGATTGTAACTCTTAATGGAAACAGATGGCCACATCTTTCTTCCACTGGTGGGTTTGAACTGACAACCTTTTGTTTAGCAGTCCAACACCTACCTACAGCACCACCAGGGCTCCTATATGCATATATAACTGAATATAAGCAAATAAATAAAAGTATAAGTCAAAGAATGCAACTCCAAGAAGAGATTACTTTGACTGCAAGGGAGAGAAGACCATTTCTTACTCCTGAGAAGGAAGGCATTGGAACCTGTCAACATGAATGTGTGAACTCACCTTTAAAACCACGGCCAGAAGGTGCACGGGGCGGTTTTCTAAATCTACTGTGCCCCCTGAGTTGAGCTCCTCCTTAAGTTCTTTACGGGCTTTCTCATTGGCCGCTTTCCGGAATATTCCTTCAGTCGAAGGGCCTTTAAGGCATAGAATTGTAAGAATATCCTATAGGAAATTGGAATAGGATATAAGTATCCTCGGTTTGAAGACACAACCTTGCAGCTACAAATACATCTCTGTTTAGGTTGGACGATGTGAATTGTAGCTCCAACAAGAAACTGATCATGCTGATGCTTCCTGACATTAACTTTCACTCAATCTGCCATTTTTCTAACAGGAGGGAAAATTGTGTAAGCTCTGATTTTGCAAGTTCTAAAACTACCTGAGGTTCCCTTCTTTTCAAGTCATTCCACAGAAACACTGAATTCTGAACATACGCTCTGTCTGTTCATTTTTCAGAAGCTCTGCATTTTCAACATTCTCAACTGTGTAAAAGCACAAGTTGGAGCGCTATGGAGGGACCATCATCCTGAGCTCAGTGGCAAATACAACTACATTTTAGGCTATGAAAGCCACATACTCTCTTAACCTGCACTCATAAGTGGGAATGTTCTTTCTAAAAGTAGAAAAACCCCCAAAGATCTACCCCAACATGTTTAATATGGGGATTACATTAAGACTTGTCAAGGATTTTCACATTTGACAGGAAACTGAAGTTGGTTGTGGAGTAAATGCCCACCTACCTGAATGGGTCTGGGTAGTGAGTTGTCCTCACCACAGATAATCGACAAGGGCTGGTCAAAGAGTGACGTTTTCAACTCTGGCTCCAAATGCCCAGAAAAGTCGGATGAAGCAGAAAGCCTTCTTAGGAGAAAGGGCCAGGACAATACCTTTCTCTTCTTAATTTCTACAGCCAAGTAAAGAAGGCAAAGAGAAAAATGAGATTACAAAGTGAATAAAGAATGGTCCAAACAAGAAAATGGGTCTCGTCAACTCTATTAGAGGAGAAAAAAATATATGAAAATTTGAAAAACCAAGACAGCAAAGGGCGTGAATCCTAACGTAGAAAAACCAAATTGAAAAACAACCACATTATTGCCAGGGCAACCAGCCTCTAAACACCAACAGCAAAGTTCCTCAAAGTCTCCACCTTTCCTGTTGTTACCCTTCTTCTACTGTTTGCTACAGAAAAAGGAGCTAAGCCCAGCTGCGGAGGTCGTAAACAACCAGCTTCAGGCACTGGCCTTTTTAACTGTGGGGGATATTTCTGATGTGAAATGGATAATTTTAATCCCCCCCTTCAACTGGTGAAGAAAGTGAAACCTGTCAGCAAGAGAGGAAGTGACTTGCTCAACATCACTTTGAAGGGCCTTAGCAGCCATCAACCCTCTGCAGCCATGCTAGCAATAACCAGCCACTAGAAGGAGCACTATGTCATTCCTTCCGCAGGCCGCCACCTTTTCTACTGGTTTTCCCAGATGGCGTTTTAGACTAGAGTGAAACTGCTCCTGGGAGGTCTCAAGGCTGTGACCTTCCAGAAGCAGATCGCCAGGTTTGTCTTCTGAGGTGTGTCTGGGGAGGTTCAAACCACGAACCTTTTGGCTAGTAGTCGAACATTTATCAACTGTGGCACCCACAGTCCCGTGAGTGGGAATTGGCTCAACGGCAATTAACAACAGCAAGACCTGTTGTTGTAAAGTGCCGTTACTCAAAGAGATTCTATATCGGATTTCTGAGGAGTGGCTGGTGGATTTGAACTGCGGACCTTGTGGTTAGTTAGCAAACCAGTACTTATCCTATTTCACCACATCTTGACCTGGCCATGGGGAATTACTAGGAAACATGGCCAAGACAGTCTGCACTTCCAAAAGGCGGAAGCCTTAAAATGAGTTTCACCTCTTACAAGTTCCCGTCTTTGTTCTAAATTATAAAGTAGATTTGCTAAATGTTTGTCCTATATTCCTCTACCTTTTACTCTGGCAAATGGAAGGAGGATAGAGAGAGAAATGCTTCTTATACTTAAGGAAACCTGGGTCAGGGTTCCATTTTAATGAAATTAACTATGAAAAAAATTGATGGGAGCAACAGTTAAATGACTCCACGGTCTTTTAGATTCATTCTTCGTTAATGAAAGAAGGAAGAACACTAGCAAGGCAGTATGTAGGTTTCATATTCATCCACACTTTAATTGTAAGATAAGTGGACAGGAGAGTTGTTTACCCAACTAAAAACCCCTGGGAGAACTAGGGTATTCACTATAAACAAGATCTTTGCTATCACGGCGCTCTCACTATTCTAGCAACTTGGCGTATGCCTGCCATTAACAGTTAATGTTCTGTAGTTTTTAAAAGAACACTTAAATACATATAAAACAATTCCTAGTAAAGCACTGAGGTTTTGTAAACCAAGAACCCTGGTTGTTAGAACTTATATAAAGGATCAGTATGTTTTCAAAACTCACCAATTAGCTGGCAAATACTATCTTCACTCTCACATGATGCCAACAGGGGGTGTTCCTTGATATCACCCTGAAAATACATTTATTTCACTTAAAAACAATGACAGAAGGAACCTACTGTCTTCCCCATAGAATACAACAACATCTTATTCATATTAAAGATCAAGGCAGTAGAATCCATTGATTTTCTTTTCTAGGCTCTAGATTTAAGTCTTCATTATCACCATACAAGATCCCAATTAATATGTTTAGTTGACTATATTCATCAGGCTAATTTTCTACTCTGATAATCAAACAAATCCCATAAGATTCAGTTAGAACAGATGTGAGTTTCCAATACAGATGAAATGTTCTCACAGGGCAGATAAAAAGGTCTTAAAAATTGCTTTCTTACCTCTGATTGACAACCAGTTAATGGCTCCATGTTATTGGCATTTAGTGTTTTTGACTAAGAGAGAGAAAAAGACAAAATTAGGTCAACAGCTTTGACTCTTGTTTCTAGAAAGTATGAAGTAATCAATGACCGATGAGGATACGTACAGCATTGCAGCTACTGACCACCTTCATTAGGGACTGGGCTGATGATCGGTGATGAAGTGAACTCCTTTGGGACCAGGGGCTCTGTCTACAACAAATCAGTACAGAAAAGAGTTAGAATGCACACACAGGAGAAGCTGGTCGTTTTCACGGCAGTTTCCCAAAACACAAAACACAAAATGTGTTAGAAAACGACTCCTTTTAAGTGACTTATGTTGTTGTTCTTGTTAGGTGCCGTTAGTAGGTTCCAACTCATCGCGACATTATGCACAACAGAATGAAACACTGCCTGGTCCCGTGCCAACCTTACAATTGTTGCTACGCTTGAGCCAATTGCTGCTGCCGCTCTGCCAACCTGTCTCATTGGGGGGGGGGGTCTTCCTCTTTTTTGCTGACCCTGCACTTTACCAAGCATGATGTCCTTCTCCAGGGACTTACAGGCTACAAGATGTCTTAAGCTACTAAGAAGAATATCTGAGGACGCTTACTTCTAAATTATTTAAACCCGATCTCTATACTATTCCAAAATATGTTATCCATTTATTCACTTATTCCATTGCCATCAAGAGATTACTTGAATAACAGTGACAATCAAAACTAGCTGTTTGGTGGCGTGCTTACCGTGCGTCAAACACTGTAGTGTTTTGTGCGCATTTTCTCATCTAATATAAAAACAGGGCAAAAACACCCCCCAAATAAAATTTATTTCCAGGATGCTATTTGGAGTTCACATAAAACAAAGACAACATCTACAGGGTCCCTGACTGGAGAAGTGCAGACTCTCATTTAAGCAAAGCCAGCAGTATCTTGAGCCTTTATAACTCTGCTGACAGCTGTTTTCTGAAGAAGAGGCACTTTGAGGTCCATGATCTATGAGGCAGTTTGCTTTCTATTATGTGTTAGTTTAAGGTACTCACCCTGGAAGCCTCTTGACCAGTGTCCTTTTACTTCTGGTGAAGGGTGGAAAAGGAAGGAAGCAGCATGACACAGGGTTGGGGCGAACCCACTGGCAGGAGAAGGAGTGATCGCTCTGCCTTCACGTGGACTGCCTTATAAAGTGGGAGGGGGCAGGTGGAAAGTCAGACTAGCCCTGAGAGCGGAAGGAGCGTCATAAACTGTCACCAGACACAGCCAGCGGGGCCCTGGGAGCTCTCACTTCCTCATTCCTTTTAGGGCAGCTCTTACTCTTTTGCTTTTCTTCCACTACAAAGTCAGAAAAGTCTGTGAATTACCAGGGATGGAAAAGACTGACTTACAGGGGGGTGGAAAAAGTTACAGTCGCAGGTGAGGGCTCGGATACATGTCATAGGTGGGATGTGTGAATAAAAGGTTGTGTTATTTTGTATGCAAACAGCATTTTGTTTTCTAAAGTGATTTTCCCCCCTTTTTATATCATGTTTCCTTGTTCAACCACCAACTATCTATTTTGTCTATTAGTCATCAGACATTGATGAGTATCTTTTGGTATAGAATACCCATAGAACCAAGGGGACATATGAGACAGTGATCATTTCTTTTTGGGAAGGATCTCTGTCAAAAGCCAGCTCAGTATTTACCTCCCTTCTCTTGTCCTGAATGCCTAGCCCAAATACTCAATACTTCATTTATAGCCAGATCAGCCCTAATTCAGAAAACAACAAAAGATGACTGTGGTCAGACAAATTTAATGAAGAAAGGACAAGGTGAATTTCGTCTGTGACAGCCATACTTCTAAATAAGAGTCTCTGTGAATTTCATCTGTGATAGTCATCCCTCTGAATAAGAGTCTCTGGTCTTCTCAAGACTAAGAGGCCATGTGTACAATGGCCTAAGCACTTTGTGGTCCAGATAGTTGTTGTCAGGTGCCGGCAAGTCGGTTCTGATTCATAGCGACCAAGGTACAGCAGAAGGATGCACTTCCCAGTCCTACGCTGCCCTCACATGTGGTTATGTGTGAGCCCAATGCTGTTTCCACTGCATCAATCCATCTCCAAAAGAACAGTCTTCGTCTTTTCTACAGACCTTCCACTGTACCAAGCATGAGGTCCTTTTCCAGGGACTGACTCCTTGTGAGAAAACATGCCAAAGTATGTGACTCGAAGTTTCACCATCCTCGCTTCCAAGGAGCATTGTGGACACACTTCTTGTAAAACAGATTTGTTTGATATTTTGACAGTCCATGGCACTTTCAATATTTTTCTCTGACACCATAACTCAAACTCAATTCTTTCCCAGACTTCCTTATTCATTGTTCAACTTTCACATGCATACGAGACTATTGAAAATACCATGGCTTAGGTCAGGCACACCTTAGTCTTCAAAGTGACCTCTTTGCTCTCTTACATTGTGCAGCAGATTTACCTAATCAATATCTTGTTTGATTCCTTAACTGCTGCTTTCACAAGGGTTGATTGTGGGTCCAAGTAAAATGAAATCTTTGGCAACTTCAATATTTTCCCCAGGATATTATTTTACCAGGATATTATTTATTGGTCCAATTGTGAGGATTTTTGTTTTCTTTACACTGAGGTAAAACGTTTGGATTTGTTTACACACTGGAGTGTCATAGAACATTGAGAATAGTCAGTCTGTATCCACAGTCAGTAGTGTTGCTGCATTCCACAGTGTAACGGTGAGTGAAAGAAGCCAGACCAAAGGGTATGTATGCCCTGCATACGCCTATCATCACTATAAAGTTCAAACGCAGTAAAGAGGCAGTGGTAGGATTCTTGCCTTTCCTGTGGAAGACCCGGGTTTGATTCCCAGCCAGTCCACCTCAAGTACGTCTGTCTGTGGAGCTTTGCATGATGCTCTGATGCAAAGCTGGTTTCAAGGGAGCTTCCGTGCTAAGATGCACCAGGAAGAAGGATCTGGTGATCTACTCCCCAAAAATCAACCAACGGATCATAATGGTCCAATCCTCAGTCAACCACGGAGATGGCACAGGACTGGGCAGTGTGTGCGTTACATTGCTTATGGGATTACCAGGAGGTGAGAGTCAGCTAACAATAACAATGACACAAAACAGCAAATAACCCATGTGGTTAGAAGCCAGCATAGTGGTTTTCCTAGGGGGTTGGTTGGTGATTACAAGGAGCAAGGGAGAGTGTTGGGGTGCTTGCAATTGTCCACTTCTTGATTTGGATGTTGCTGTGCTTATCTGTGGAGTCCTGGTGTGGCACTGTGGGTTAATGCTCTAGACTGCTAAGCTGTTAGAACTGCAAGGTTGGCAGTTCAAGCTCACCAACTGCTCCTCAGAAACCTTACACAGGGTCGCTATGGGTCGGGATCGACTCGACGGTACTTAACAACAACAACAATATGCTTATCTGTACGTTTCTGAAATTAGGTTATTTTTCAATAAAATGTTAACAAGTGTCATGAATTCAGCACCTTTAATTTTACAACGTTCTCCTGCTGATACTTCTATTGTATCTGTTCACGTTGGGAGGAGATCATTACTAGAGATATTTGGAAGCAGATTCCCATGCAGTTGGATGTTTCAGTGGATGAGCCCAGGGCAGCCCCTGGTTTCCAATTCCTACCCACAGGCTCCTTTGTTGAACACTTTGACAGTGTGTAAGTCCCTCAGTCTCTCTGAAGTCTCTGGAAACTCTCTTAGCCTTTTATCTCCCTGCACAACTTGAGCCCTCTTGTCTTTTGTTATTGTTAAGTGCCATCAAGTCATAGTGACCCTCTATAGGGTTTCTGAGGAGCATCTAATGGGTTTGAACTGCCTTGCAGTACAGCACATTAACCCACAGTGCCACACCAGGACTCTTGTCTTTAAATCCTCCAAAAGATAATTCACAGATTAAAAAAAAAAA